GCCATACTAGATTTAGTGTTAACAAATGGAGATTTGGGATCAGATATTACTGTAGGTGAAAGTTTAGGATCCAGTGATCATCAGTCAGTGTGGTTTAATATAAGAAGTCACAAAGTCACACCACACAAAAACAAAAGTTTTAGACTTTAGAAAAACAGTTTTCTAAAATTAGAATATGTGTAGAGGAGTCATTATCAGATTGGAGTAATTTAAATGGAGTCCAAGAGAAATGGGATTATTTAAAAGTTGCACTACTGAAGGCAACAGAAAATTGCATTAGGCTTGTCAGTAAAAGCAAAAAATTCAAGAAACTGCTATGTTTATAAATGGGTTAATCCAGCCCTCAAATCCTCTAGTGGCTGTCTCATTGACAGCCGCTAGAGGCGCTTGCGTGATTCTCACTGTGAAATTCCCAGTGAGAACACGCAAGCGTCCATAGGAAAGCATCGTAAATGCTTTCCTAAGAGACCGGCTGAATGCGCACGCAGCTCTTGCCGCGCGTGCGCATTCAGCCGAAAGGGAGGAGAGGAGGAGGATCGGAGGAGGAGAGCTCCCCGCCCGGCGCTGGAGAAAGGTAAGATTTAACCCCTTTCCTCTCTCCAGAGCCGGGCGGGGTGGGGACCCTGAGGGTGGAGGCACCCTCAGGGCACTATCGTGCCAGGAAAACGAGTATTTTTTCCTGGCACTATAGTGGTCCTTTAAAAACAAAAAGTTAGCATTTAGTAATTATAAAAAAAAAAACAGAGTGAGGAAGACAAAATGATCTATAAGATTAAGCAGAAAGAGGCTAAGCCAGTTTTAAGAGTTTCCAAATCACACACAGAAGATAAAATAGCACAGTCAGTAAAAAAGGGGGAAAAAACTTAAAAAAAGTAAAACAAGGATTAGCTGACTGCCTCAATGAATATTTTTGTTCTGTATTTACAGATGAAAATGAAGGAAAGGGACCTCATTTAAGAAAAAAGGATAAATGAGTCATTTGTAACACGTGAGTTTACAGAGGAAGAGGTTCTATTTCAACTGTCAAATGTAAAGACAAATAAGTCAATGGGACCTGATGGAATACACCTAAAGCTATTAAAAGAGCTTAGTGGTGTACTAGCAAAACCTTTAACAGATTTATTTAACCAATCATTGTTAACAGGAGTAGTCACAGAAGATTGGAAAGTAATAGGGAGGAGTCGGGCAACTATAGGCCAGTAAGCCTTACTTCAGTAGTGGGGAAAGTGATGGAAACCATGTGAAAGGATAGGATTGTTGAACATCTAAAAACACATGGATTTCAATATCAGAGACAACATGGGTTTATTTCAGGGAGATCATGCCAAACTAATCTTATTGATTTTTTTGATTGGGTAACTAAAATTATAGATCAGGGTGGTGCATTAGACATTGCTTACCTAGATTTCAGTAAGGCTTTTGACACTGTTGCACATAGAAGGCTTATCAATAAACTGCAATCCTTAAGTTTGGATTCAAATATTGTTGAATGGGTAAGGCAGTGGCTGAGTGACAGGCAACAGAGGGTTGTAGTTAATGGAATATATTCGAAGCTTGGACTTGTCACCAGTGGGGTACCTCAGGGATCTGTACTTGGACCCATTCTCTTTAATATTTTATTAGTGATATTGCAGAAGGTCTTGATGGTAAGGTATGTCTTTTTGTTGATGATACTAAGATATGTAACAGGGTTGATGTTCCAGGAGGGATAAGCCAAATGACAAATGATTTAGGTAAACTAGAAAAATGGTCAGAATTGTGGCAACTGACATTTAATGTGGATAAGTGCAAGATAATGCATCTTGGACGTAAAAACCCAAGGGCAGAGTACAGAATATTTGATAGAGTCCTAACCTCAACATCTGAGGAAAGGGATTTAGGTGTGATTATTTCTGATGACTTAAAGGTAGGCAGACAATGTAATAGAGCAGCAGGAAATGCTAGCAGAATGCTTGGTTGTATAGGGAGAGGTATTAGCAGTAGAAAGAGGGAAGTGCTTATGCCATTGTACAGAACACTTGTGAGACCTCACTTGGAGTATTGTACACAATACTGGAGACCGTATCTTCAGAAGGATATTGATACCTTAGAGAGTTCAGAGAAGGGCTACTAAACTGGTTCATGGATTGCAGGATAAAACTTACCAGGAAAGGTTAAAGGATCTTAACATGTATAACTTGGAGGAAAGACGAGACGGGGGGATATGATAGAAACATTTAAATACATAAAGGGAATCAACACAGTAAAGGAGGAGACTATATTTAAAAGAAGACAAACTACCACAACAAGAGGACATAGTCTTAAATTAGAGGGACAAAGGTTTAAAAATAATATCAGGAAGTATTACTTTACTGAGAGGGTGTCACGATTTTGGAACCTAATACGCTAACAGGACACAGAGAGGAAAGATGCTATACCGGTCCTTAGAGTGGCCGTGCTAAGCACACTAAGAGTGGTCAGCAGACAAGCCAAGTAAAGGGAGCCAGAGGAGTGGAGAAGACAGGATAATCGGAATAACAAGCCAAATAATCAGTAATCAGAGAAACACGAGCAAACTGCAATACAGGTATTACAAGACCACAACAGGGCACTGAGAGACAGGAAAGGTAAGTATAAATATCGTTTGCTTAATTCTGATTGGATAACTTCCAATCAGAATTAACAATCACCCATGGGAGATATCTACGCCTCCCATTGTGATTGTGGTACTGTTGCTTTAACGCCGGGTCATGTGAGTGACCCCGGGGTTTGCATAAATTTACGACCTCCCAGCGCACAGCGTTATACATGCTGCCGCTGGGAGGTGTGGAGGACGCGAGCGGCGGAGAGGAGACGCCGCTCGCCGACAGGTAGAAGGAGGGGAGTGGCGTGCAGCCTCCCCTCACAGCCACCCGCGAACCCCTGACAGAGGGTAATGGATGCATGGAATAGCCTTCCACCTGAAGTGGTAGAGGTTAACACAGTAAAGGAGTTTAAGCATGCGTGGGATAGGCATAAGGCTATCCTAACTATAAGATAAGGCCAGGGACTAATGAAAGTATTTCGAAAATTGGGCAGACTAGATGGGCCGAATGGTTCTTATCTGCGGTCACATTCTATGTTTCTATGTTTACTCTCAGGTCCGGGGGTTGGGGGCCTTGAGCATGGAGACCTGCATATAAAGCCAGTTGTAGCTGCCATTAAACAGATTTGTTTTACCCTTCATGAAGTCTAGGCTCATGTTTGGGGGATTGGAGAGCTATATTCACTCTGGGAATTGCTATAATCACTATACTCCCTTGGGTTACAATGATTGCTCTTGTAAGAGCAGCCTGCTTTGCTCTCTGGATGAGGTCTACCCACTGGAAGATGCATAATGATGCATAATACTCTCAGAAATCATATTTCTTAATTAAGAAAAACACTTTCTTAATTAAACTTATTAATTTTAAGGAACACAAACATAATATCTTATGAACTATTTCAAGGATTAATGCACACACATATTGACATTCACTGACATGCAGTTTTACTGATCAATACATACACACACTCTCTGATACACATACCAATGCACACTGGCAGAGACAGAAACTGACGCACAATCACTGCTGCACACACACACCTTGACACACACAGTGACCCCCTACACACTCACTAACACACACAGTGACCTAAACACACTCACTGACACACACAGGGACCCCAACAAACTCACCAACTCACACAGTGACCCATATACACTTACTGACACACACAGTGACCCATACACTCACTGATACACAGCGACCCTCAACATACTCACTAACAAAGTGACCCCCAAAACACTCACTAACACACACACAGTGGCCCATACACACTCACTTACACGCACAGAGACCCCCAACACACTCACCAACACACACAGTGAACCATACACACTCACTGTAACACAGTGACCTGCACAAACATAATGGCACACACACTCATTGATACAAAAACTACACTGGTAGCAAGGTGTCTATGCCTGATTCTGCCAACACATGTCTTTTGATGCCTGTCCTCCATTCTCCCAAGTCTGTCCTCCATTCTGTCAGGATTACAGTATGATCCAGCACGTAGAATTGTGTAGCACAGAGGATTGATAGGTAAAGTATACCGGACCTTAGAATGGCCGGACTACCGTACCAAAGAATAGTCAGGAATAGCTGAGGTCAAGGGCTACAGAAAGAGACACATCGTTAAGGAAAAGCCAGGGGTCATTGATTCCAGAAAACAAGGAAGTCAATATCAATGCCAAAGTCAAATAACCAGAATCAATAATGCCCTCTCGGACAACCACAAGGGAAACCTCGACAAGGCACTAAGCAAGAGGAGAACTGGGCCTAAATACCCCGCCTGTGGATCTGATTGGTTGTAACCAGCCTTTGGCCACAAAGGCAGTTTCCAGGTTCCTATTTGCATGATTGCTGCTCAGCACAAACCCTCCTGTGGATTGATTGCTGCTTGGCACAACTTTTCCTGTCAGAACAGTAAATGCCATGAATCAAATTTTTATGTGCGAATGAATACGTAACACATTCCCAGTGTTTTACCTGCCGGGATATGACATCTTGATCTCGACATCCCTGCGTTCTTTAGCTGTCTAAATATTTTGAGGAGCGACTTGTTTCCGTCACTCCTCGCGCCTCCTCACCACTCTTCCAGGGCTGGAAAGAATTTTGTTTTTTAAATCAGTTTGCAAGGTAGAACAGGCCTTCAACATCAGAGACACTTTAAAGGCTCCAAATGTGATTGAGATTTCATGTCCATGAATATTATTTGACCTTGCTTGCAAAGCTATATTTTGCTGTGTATTTATCTCTATTCTTTGTATATTACTATTTCTCGTCTGCAGGCTTCTACTATGCTATGAATGCAACATTTTGTTGATAGGCTATATTTTAGTCTTTTAAAACTGATCTTCTGTAAAAGTGAGAATCTTGTATTCAGTGGAAGATTAATTACTACACCAGTTAGCTCATACAATCCCAAATGTTTCCTCTTTAAGAACATGATTTGATTTCAACATACTAAAAAGCAAAACAAATCTCTGAAACAAGCCTATTAGTTTGTCAATGGCAGATATGTTTTTATCTAGATCCCACACACAGTAACATAGTGTACTAAATCAAAGGTTCTTTACACAAACCTTGTTAACATTTCCCATTGATAAACCAAACGATAACACTAAGGTTAAACATTGATTGACTTCAACCATTTGTAAATAATACCAGATTTGTGGAAATAATTTAACAAACATAAAAAAAAAAACCATTTATGCATTGAGTGAATACGTTTTGGAATAAGATAACAGAAAACTATTGCATTCATTTACTTAATTTTTCCTTCACAGATTGCATTGCATAATACACATATATATGTATATGTAGAGATTGTAGCCGTATTAGTCCAGTGATGTAGATGTAAAAACCAGATACAATTCTTATCTTGTAATACCTTTTTTATTGGACTAACAGAATTTTTTTAATGACAAGCTTTCGGGAGAACCTCCCTTTCTCAAGTCTGAAGCATTTCTGAGCAAGACGATACATAGAATTCAAAGTTGAGTTGTGATACAGGGATTAAAGCGACATAGCTTCCTCCCAGCTTCAGCCATATAACAGGTGGCCGGGCTTGCTTTTAATGGGCCATCGTGCCTGACCGGCCCCTGTTCATCAATAATACCCATCGAGTGGCCCTAAGTGCATAGGCCACTCGATGGGCCCTAAAAGCTTTCGGGCCCCGGTGCAGTCAGGGTTGGCGAGATGGGTGGGCAAGAGGAAGGAGGGGAGAGCCTGAATAAACTCCCCTAGCTAAGAGGTATGCCCAATAATGCAAACTGACCAAGTTATAGTAAGTATTTAAATGTTTATTACATACTTTTCAAAGTTTGTCTTGCTTTATTTTAGTTTGTATTTATGTATAAAAGTGTTTGCTTGCTGGTTTAAAAAAAAATTGTCAAGTGATGCAAGTCCCTTTAAGGACCCATGGTGGAATAATTCAATCATGAAATATTTTACCAACAGTGACCATTTCCATGATGGAAACTGGGGCTTCCCTCTCCCCTATATCAGCTGGGGCCAGAATTAGTGACCCCAGACTGACCATTGATCATTGCTAGAATGAAAAATGAGCAGGGTTTAATTCCAGGTATCAATCAGCGGGCATCAATTTTTATTGGCTACAGACCTTTTGATGAACTGCATGAAATGCTGCCTACAGCTAGATCATGGTGTGAGCACAATGCAGTCACAGGTATCCATGCCTGGGGCTCCCTCTTTCAGCGGAGGACATTTTTTAGTGGCCTCAGACCTTATGACGGACTGCATGCAGTACTGATAGTCAGCATGGCATGCAGCTCATTAAAAGGGCATTTAAATGTCTATAGCTAGATCTTGGTGTAAGCAGGATTTTTTTTTAAATTGCAATGGACAGGTTATAATTCAGATTTTTTTTTCACACAAAACTTGAAAACAGTATGTGAAGGGTGTCATGTACTCAGGCAATAAAGCTGAGCACAAGGTAGTAATTAGCTAAATTGCAATGTGCATATAAAAATGTGAATAAAAAATAATTCCATACATTTGAAAGCAACTGGTGTTAAAAGAACTTTATAATAAGGCTCAAAATATACCATATGGACAAAACAAACTGAAGACAGCGAGACGCAACGAGCCGGGCGGGCGACAGGTGGCGGGCAGCAGACCACTCCGACCCACCACACCCTGACCCACACCCAGTCAACACCATGACACAATGACAACTGATGACACCAGAGACGAATAGACCTCCTACAGACACGACGACACTCGCGAGCCACACACATAGCCACCTACGGGGCTACAAACACGAATAAAGACAACCAACCATATAGCTATTACACTAATGGACGCCAAACAACACCAAGCAGGACCACAACCTAGAACTAACACCACACCCAACTCCTCGATACATAGGACAACAACGAAACCAAAGCTAGCACAGTAAGTG